GGTTGAAAAGAGGCAGAACCCTTAAAAACAGCGAGACAGATGAAGAGCGAGAGAGGGGACAAAGATCACTCATATCCTGAGAGAACAGTTCAAGGCCACCATGCATTAGCTTTTAGCAGGATGGATTAAGTCAAGTTTGAGAGTGCGCATCCTAAACCTCCCCATGCCCCCTTCTTACCCCTCCCATATACTCTCCTTTCAGAATAATAGCATAAAAAAAATGGCAACATAATACCATCTCATTGCATCATATTCCAGAGTGGGGGGAAAAAAAGACAGGGAACAAAAGCTTTCGGGCTATGGATCTTTCGCTCTCGCTTCTCCATGTACTCTCTCTCACTCGTTCACTCGCTTGCCGGCCCTTGCGGCCTGACAGCCTACCCTCTCTCCGACTCGCCTAGCTGGCAAAAAGCTGCTTTGTTGCCATAGTATCAACTCCCACTTTTGATACTGTCATTTCAAGTAGGATATGGTAGCCTTGATACAATATGTTCCCTATTTCCATTAAAATAGTTGTCGAAGAGGATGCTGTAGACTTTGGATTACACTTGACTGTGCCTGACAAGCGCCCCAACCCACCACACACCCGCCTCTCCCCATTTTATTAATGACCAAAGGCCCCCCTCCCCATAGCCCAAATGGAAAAGAGAAAGAAAGAGAAGCTATGAGAGTAGAGAAGAGGAGGGGTGGAAGACTGAGTGAGAGTGAGCGACACAGCTATAAGAGGCCTTTTATGTACTCCTATCCATAAACAAAGTGAGATCCCAAAGTTTGCTCCCTTGAATGTGCTCTCTGGATGAGATGGGAACCAACTTAAGACAAGACATTTTGATAATACCCAACAACCCCCCCCCCCCTCACACACAAACACCCCAACTCCATGTTTGCTGAGGGTCCAGACAAATACACTACGCTGCTTAAGAAGGACCTCTAAAGCCAGCAACCACACGAAAAAACATTACGGTGATATGATAGGACTCTGCGGAATAACTCATCACCGACGTGAGAAACACGTGCAGAGGTAGAAAAGAAACAGAACCTACCAGCTTCATGTGGTCTATAGGCCATTTGAGAAACTACGCTTAAATCGCAAGGATTTAGGTGAGAACAAAAATCCATTGTTTCAACACGACCTTGGACATTACAAGTCTGCTCAGGCAAAATGAGATATCCGCCTCCTTTCACTAAGAACTTAGCTTCCACCTCTTTCAAAAACTGACTGCAATAAGTATATTGATCTCATTGATTTAAAAAACAATGCAGGCCTGGTTGTCAAAAAGCGACTATGTTTCCTGCCTCAAAGGATAAGGTTTCTCACATGATAAGCACATATTTAGTTTCACATACTACTTGTTAAACATGCAGCAACTGCAAAGTCAAAAGTCAAATACACACTGTCATTTATTGAAAGAGTAAAATAAACAATATCATGTAATGAAAATGCATTGCTCTGGTGTTTATGCTATATATGAAATCATATCATCAAGGGGCTTCAGTGACACGTTATCAACGACGCAACTGACTGCACACAGCTGGGAGTGAAATGGGATAAGTGGGCAATGGGATGAAGGCTGGTGAGGGGGTGGCTTTCTGCCCTCCCATGGGTGGGGGGCGGGGGGTAAGGATGGGGGGAAAAAACGCTCCAGCTCCCCCACACACCCTGGCCTGTTTCATTCTTCTCTTCTCTCAATGAGGGGATTAGGTAGACTCTCTCAGTGCGGCCACAAGGGCTCTCTCGATTTGGAGGTGGATAGCAGGACAGCGGTGAGAATATGAGACAAGGGAAAGCGTTATTAAACAGAAAGTATCAAGCACAGTTAGAGGATAGAAAAAAGTAGTTCTGAATATTACAAGTAAAATGGAAACAATAAGAGCAAAGCATAGGCTATGCATTCCAGGCCGAGGCATTGTGGCTAACGCTCTTAACTTGCTGGAGATGGAGGAAAATGCTTCTAAAGAAAGCTGAAGAAAGGAGAAGGAGAGAAGCAAAGCAAAGTTGACACCACGTTTGTTGAGAAGTGAGGGATGCGCCGCTTCTTCTGTGGTCTTATGCAAAGCAGGGTCACACAGGGCTATGAGGTGCACAATAATGCTGATTACACGCATATGCTAATTATAAACACACTAATCAAGTACAGTAGCCTTATATTCAACGCTAATGCCTGGAGACGGCTTCTCTTTCCTCAACCCATTTGTTAAGGTAAAGGGAAACTATAAATACTTTAGGGCTGCTCCCCAATCTAATCCAGGCCACTAACTACAGGGGTGTCAGTCAACTGAAATGACAATTTAAAGATAAAAGACAGGGCAATCAGACGAGATGAATGACTGCCTGATCATTTCAGACTCTCAATAAAGCCTGCCCATTTCAAGCGCATACAGAAAAGCCCTGGAATGGCTCAATTTATGCAAATGTAGGTGGTGACAGAAATGAAAGTTTGTCAAATCTTTAAAACGGTGCTACCACTTTCTTTCTATGCATGTGTCATATTGGAAAGAGACAATTATAGCTAATCATAATGCAAGTAATAATTTAAGCAAATGTCTCATTTAAGTTTCACAAATTCTTCATAACCTTTGAAACGGGGGTGCATTTTTTTTAATCAAGCTCCAAAACATCAAGGTAAGTGGACCTTGTGATCATTTTTGTCAATCATCATCCTTGTCTACTATTTGTCAGTTGGTTAAAGTACAGTCTTTGCATTGTAATGCATGGTGGCCATTGTAAAAATCATTCAAGCTGACTCAGCCTTGATTTACAGAGGAAAATACCAATGAGACACACATCTGTGTTTCGCAATAGGAAGGACTGTCCAACTGTTTTTCTCCTCATTGCGCAATAACAGCACATTTCTGGATGTTGTGTAAGGCAATAGTCTAACATGTAACATTTCACTTATATGTATATATATGTTTCTTGACACAAGCATTTGGACCAACTACTATAGTTTACCAACAGATGGCAGGAACCTCTCTAAGAAGACCATCATTTGTTCTCTTCTACAAGTATTCAGTCGGGCAGGAGGAAGGAAATGTGGTGAGGGGGTTGGGAGCGACTGGAAAGGATCCGGCAGCACGTTGCATCCTGTCCAGTTTCAAAGAAGCTGACTTGCAAAGTTATGTTCCTCTTTAGCATTGGAGAATTTGTGATGACCTATCAGTAAAGTCAGGTCAAAGTAAGCAGTGAGCACTCTTGAAAAAACAGACACCCTTACTCAAGTAATAGTAGAATAGGATATAGATGAGCATCTTGTCATACATGACTTCAAGTTGGTTCTTAAGTGTAACCCATTCTGTTATCTATTCTTTGCAGTCAGAACATGGGGTGTGGCAGGAGTTCAAACCTGAACTGTCTTGGCAGGGTAAACTTTTATGATGAGTTGTTTCATCTTCGTTTTACTCAGTTTGCTGCAGGGGTAATGTGACAGTTATTTGAAGACTTGTATGCATTGATAAAACAGTGAAATGTCACGCCACGGAAGAAAAACACTTGAGGCCAATGTAAACACATTTCCTTCGTAAACAGAGACAGCTACAAGTTAGGCAAACATTAGGTTCAATGTCCCTGTTAACATTGTTATCAACATTTCTCCATTACTTATTAACAAACGTATAATCAAATAACTTGGACTCAAAGCTAACATCACTAACGTTAACTCGTTACCTTACTGTCAGACAGCTAAACAGTGTTAGCTTGTTTTACGAGGGTTACTAGCCTGCTAGCTAGCGTTAGCAAACTCGTGTTGCAAATACAACTGCACAGATATTTCTACACATAATTAAATATCGACTATGTGACTGTATACGCATCCTTTATTGCTCTGGGCGACCCCGATGTAATGAAGTCATAACTTTCTCTGTCAACAGGAAAGACGTTAGATACTTCAGGTAGCTAGCTTAAAAGCTAACATCATTAGCAGTTGTTACCTTCAGTCTGACTTCATACGTGGTATATCTGGTCCTGCCAACCCCGATGGTCTCAGGGTTGCTCACATCAATTTCTAGAAAATTACTTGGAGGTCCATACGCGTCATTTAGGTTCTGGGGCTTGGAGAAGAGCCTTCTTGTGTCAGCTATGGTATCAGCCATTTCTCCCCTGTCCTTCTAGCAGCTAGTGATAGTGTGAAGCTAGCCAGAATACAAATACCTACATTCCGTTACTCACCTTCAAAATAAAACATTTGGTGAATGTTGTGCACGGGTAATTGGACGTATACAGTCAAGCGCACTCTTTAAGGAGATGTTCTGTATTAAATTATAGTATGTATGTATTATATGTGACTTTTTACAGGACGCTGTTGTTTATGCAGCACACAAGTTTAGGGGTAACTTTTAAGTTGAAGGTAAATCATACAGTTTCCGGTTTTGATAGGTCTCTTACTATGGCAAGCTTGAAAGGCCAGCTCGCTGCACTTCCGATCAGCTGAGGTTCAGCTGATGCTGCCCGTCCACCTGCTGCTCGGTTTGTTTACAACCCGCCAGCGGGCCTATCGGTTGGAATGACGTATTCGGACGACATACACAATTGTTATCATTATATTCCTGTACTCAAGACCAATCATGCTTTGAAATTGCTGCTAAAACGTGCAATAGTGTTGCTTTTGGAATCAATGCTCAAATAATATTAATTATTAAAAAAACAATGTTTTATTAAAAAACGAAATAACAAGCAAAAATGTTTACTTATCATTATTATTGATAAGATCCAGTCATATAAATGTACCTCGGCCTAAAATATAAAACCTTACATTTTTATTTTCAACCTAACCTGCAGTAGTTTACTGCAGGTTTAAGATACATATAAATAAAAATAATATATATAATATATAAATAAAAATACAATATATGAGTTGTATCCAGGTTATATCTAATAATATGTATTCATATTCACTAGTTAGATACCCAACATATGCCCTATCCTGCCATGCCTGTGTCATGTGCATAGACTGCTGGCTTATATTTGTCATGTGATTGTCAATAAAGTTTTGAATTTTGAAACATCATGGCTGCGTACAGGGTCCCTGCAGCTGCCAGATTCTCAATACAATTTGTACTAAAAGATACTGTTCTGACTTCAAGGAGAATTTTCCGAGGGTCAGCATTTTGCACTGGAAAGGGTATGTGTCTCTCGGTCATGTTGTAGTAAATTATTTTCAGGTTGTCGTGTTTTAAAAATAAACAGTCTTAAACCTCTGAATTACTCGACTTCTATTTACTTCCTATGACGTTTTATATTGACAGAATCCGTGTATACTTGCAGTCTTAAGGTAACGATTTACAGAGAATTTTACAAAACAGCTTTTGCTTTTATGCTCCAAGGTTACACTGGCTGGAGGACATGCAGTTCGTCCGCACCACACTGCTCCTCTGAGCCTCCTGCAGCAAAAACGTGTGCCCTCATTGGACAGTATGACCACCTTGTTCAATGTGGCTCCCTGCAGGAAGACATTCAGCAGAGAAACGTCCTACAGCAGCTGGCTTTGCTGAAGCACAATCTGAATAACTACACTAACAGCATCTACTTGAACCCAACCCCAACCAGAAACTCAAAAGATGACAACAGTCAACTTCCAAACGTTAAATATGGTGGATCAACTGCAAAGGTTTGACGTTTTATACGTAATGATGCATGGTCGGATAATGATTACTCTCATACTTGTTTGATTGCCCTTCTGAATTTAGATTCTGATGTAATTGGTCTCCAAAATATAGCGGATAACTTATCAAAACCCAACCATAGACCACATGTAGTAGCCACAATGTCATAAAGCAACCAATTTCCTGCTAGACTTAATAACACCTGTCCACATGAGACTCTTTCAAAAACAAAAATTAAAATATTAAAGAAAATACATCCACAAATGTACGTCCACAAATACCATACATACATAAACAAAATACAATGGGATTATGGCCTAAAATATGGTCTTAATCAGCAGGCGGAGTCTGGTCAGTTTTCATGAATTTGCACCTGATGACATGCACTTTGAGCAACTGTATTAAAAAAAACAGGTACTTGACCAATATATCAACGGATCCATCTCTGTTACAACTAAATAAACTCCTCCCTATCATGAAGACCATGTGATGTGGTTGAAAGGTTGAGAACAAATCTGTAAGTGGATCTGATTTGAGTAGGTTTTTTTAATTGTCAATCTAAACCGTAAACTGTCATGCAAGACAGTAGTGCCATTAAAACCTGACTAATATCATATATATTATATAATACTATTCTGTATTTGATATAGAGTCAAGACTCAATAGGATTATTCAGTTGAGATTGTGGGCACTTCTGAATAGTTTGGACTTAAAACGAAGAAGTAGCATACATGCTGCAGATCTTTTTTTTCTTTCCTTACAACATGAATTACAATGTGCATACACTGAAATAAAAAGTTGGAATAGTGCATAAGGTAGAAAATAATGAGTGATTTTGGACACAGTTTACAATTTGTACAGCAGCATGCATTTGTTTAAAACCTATTACAGTGGGGCATCTGGACTCTCAGTCTGTTATAAAGCCCCTGTTGACGTCCAACATATGGAGGGACTTCACAGAGTTCACTGCACTGTACACAAGTTGTATCACTCATGGTGGCCATGGGGCTCAGGTCAAAGGGAGGGTAGGGGTCTGGGAAGTGTATTGTGTATGTGAGTTTTGGAACGGCGTAATGTAGGGGGCTGTTGTTGTTTTTAGGTCAGGGGAGCTGACTGTCTAGTATTTGGTGGTGGGAGTTGTTTTGTTGGTTGGCTGGCACAGACACATAAGGTTAGGCAGAGATTTTGGAAGGCAGCAGGGCAGACCTCCTGCTGGGCTGGTCCCGGCACCCCTCTCACTCTCTCACCGTCCCAGTGCAGTAATGAGGGGATCCCCATTGTCTGGGCCATTCTTGTCCTTTTTGCTTTTGATTCGGGACTCTGACAAATACTTTGGTGTTAGGCTATCAACACTACCGCCCCCTCTCATTTTGCACCTTATGTATTGCTCTGTCTCCCACACACACACATACACACTGACAGAAGTACTTATGCAATTATTCTGGCTTGAATCAGGTCATACCACTGTCCTTTCGGTGTCTGTTCTCTCTGTGAAAGTACCGCCATTGTCCTAACTAACTGACCAAGTATGTGAGGAGAGTACACTTGACTTAATATTGACCCAATGTGGCGTGGTTTTGCGGATGGCCGGCCAACAATGGACCATTGTTTAAAGGGCGCCACCCTCTTCAAGTCAGACCTGCATCATGCAGTCCTCCTGTACACTGGCGGTCTCCAGCAGGACAGTTGTACCATTTAAACCTCACTCCCATGAACCTTCTGAGTGAGAGACACAACGTATCTGTCTGTAGATGTGATCAAACGCAGTTCTCCTGAAGTCATTTCAAAACCAAAATGTCTATGTCCTGCATGTGAACTTTCCACTCATGTGCCAGTCTGCACCCTCTTCCAGGAGGTGAGACAAGGCCACACAGCTCAGCTAGACAGAGTGGCTGAGAGACGGCCTTGTCTTTCTCCACTCTGCCGTGGCAGAATGGCTTCCAGCCACCACTGACAATTACCCCACCATGCCAGAGGGCAGCCTGGGAAGTCAGGGAGAAGTCACAGACTGTTATGCCAGAGCAGACAGGAAAGGCTTGTTGCTCTTCCAGTGTTTCACTCCAGCACAGGACAGGCAGGGATGGGGAGTGGGAGAGGGGAGGAGCCGGGAGAGGGCAGAGTGAGAGAGAGGATGGGTAACAAGTTTGTTTTTTCATTTAGTTTTCAATTGGCCATTGTCTGCTTTCACCAAAGTCAAGTGCTACTTGTACTGTGGTCACCGAGTGCATTGGACACACTGAGTACCGTCTTCATGAAATATTTGCTAAATTACATTTTAAGAAGACAAACCTTTCTATTCAGTGCTCAGTTAATTCCAAAGCTATTTGCCGTTGCCCGGTTACAGAGATGGACAATCTTGAACCACATTGTTGTTGAACCCTGTATTAAACATTTCTCATTTGTCCTCATATACTAAAAAATATGCTCTAATTTATCGTTACATGTCATGAGTAAACTGATGACGTCAACATGGCTTCGGCCCTCTTTAGAGATATTGGCTTTATGCGATATTCTCAGCTCGGTCACACAGAATACGTTTTTTTTTTTTTAAAGCAAGGACCTTTTGATGATGGGAGGCAGGCAGCACAATGACTTCCAGCAGCACCTCAATGCAACAGTACCGTATCACAATTAGCAGCGCTAAACAGGCTGCACAGGCAAGTCCACTCCATCTCGTATGGAGCCTCATCCAGTCCTCTCCGTTTTGTCTGACAAATCCCCCTATTGTTCCTCTGATGATGCTTTTATTTCGTGGGAACCCTGGCTTGTCTTGTTGATTAGATCCCCTTTGTCTTCCTCCCCTGCACTGGGCTAGTCTGGAGAATGTGAAACCTCACACTGTAGTGGTGGCTTAATGCCTCAGCATACTTTGTTTATTAAACGATGATTCAGTCTTATATGGTAATGAATATAACGACGTTTATGTAGGTCAACAGCTATAATGTTTTGTGCCTTTTTAATACGGCATTTATGCAATCATTTTTCATAACCATATTGATTTGATGCTTAACTGTTGTGCATTGTTGTTTATGATGGCTCGCAGCTGGTAAAGATACAATGTAAAAACATACTTATTAATTTCCTTCCTGTACTTTCCCTCAAAGGAGGAACCCACTCCTCCCCCACCCAAAGGCTTTTACCTCTATGGAGATGTCGGTAAGATCTAAAAATAAATAGATATACTATGATATTTTCTAAGGAGTTTCATCTCTGGAAGATTTCAAGGAAGTGATAATCATGCTTTTCTGTATCCCTCTCAGGCACAGGGAAGACCATGCTCATGGATATGTTTTACTCCAGTGTGAAAAACACTCGTAAAAAGAGAGTCCACTTCAACGGCTTCATGCTGGACATCCACAAAAGTTAGTATTATCCTCCCACTCCAAGACGCTCACTGCTGAAGGTTTGCTTGCTTGACTTTATGGAAGTTTTCTGACTCCTCATGCGCTGGAGATCCTATATTTATCTCTGTGTTTGTCCTGAAGCCTTCCTTCTAATTGTCTACCATTATGCATACAGGTGAAATTACTGCTTTATTCAGTATTGTCATTGAGTTGCTGATGCAGGTGTGCTTTAGGATGTGCCTGACGTTTGTGTGCTGCTTAAAGGGATTCACCGGAGGAAACAAAGCCTGCCAAAACGACGGCTAGGGGAAATGTTCACCTATGACCCCATATCACCGGTTGCCATGGAGATCAGCGACGAAACCTGCCTCTTGTGTTTTGACGAGTTTCAGGTGAGCGAGTTTGTTACATGTGTGTGTGTGTAAAAAAAACAGCTTGAACATTAGCGACAAGAAGCAAACATCAACTGCATACATTTGCTTTAAAAAGTACTACACCAACATTAGTACTAAGTAATGGGTGATACTAGAAGATATACTGCTAGTTTAACTTTAAATAATAATGGCGTTTTGATGCTTAGGAACGTTATACCAAAAAATACCCTCGGCTAAGATGAATACCCAGAGAGTGCCAAAGATTTAAAGTAAAAACATATTTTGTGGCATATTGAGTCAAAAGTATAAGTAATATCTTAAGGCATTATAAAGGTTTAACAAGTTTGCAAGGTACAACATAATTCTACTGTAAACAATGTTCATGTTTAAAAAGTAATATGTCAATTCTTTTTCCAGATCAAAACACTTTTTTTGCAACAGTCATACAGAAGTTGTTATTTTACATTATATTGACAGATATTGCACATTTTTTCTAAAAGTTTGTAGCTACTGGTTTATTCAATATTCAGAGAAATTTCCAGCAAATGTTACAGATTTGAACAAAACACAAAGAAACAGGAAATAAGATGTTGATTGTAAACACAGTAAATCACACATCAGAGGAAGCAAACAAAGTGATATGCAACATTGTGTTTCTTTTGTGTTGTAGTTATAAGTAACCCCTCTTTCCTGCTTGGTCAGAAACAAGTTAAACATGTGTTCAAGCTGTGATCACTTTTAGTGTTTCATTTAAACCAGTATCCTGTCTGGACTACTGGATGCTGAAAGATCTGTGTTCCCCCACAGAAACAGGACTGGGGACACCTAGTGGCCTTTTTAAATATAGAATAATGACTTCCAATATCAATGAGACATTCGCTCTCCCCAGTAGTAGCTTACTAGTACAGTACTAGTACATACATGTGTAATGTTACACGTATCAATGTGTAATATTGTGTTGCGTTGTAAATGCAGCAACCAGTAATCTGTTCCTATTGCTTATTTATGCACATGGTTGCTTCATCAGTTACAACCAAGTCACCTGCAGTTTGTGTACACTGGATTCACACAAATAAGAGGCATCTTCAGCCATTAGTGCTGCAGTAGTTCTCATTATTCCACCCTTTGGTGTCAAAGGAGAGAGCCACTATTGAAGCTCTCCCTATTCTCTGTAAGGTAGTTAGTCATTCAGTGAGTAAAGAAAGACGTGTGCTTGTGTCTCTATCATTAGCCAAACACATCTGTGAGCCGCACAGTGTAGTTCCTCTTACTGATATCATTACAGTTAATGCCAGCAGGTCAAAGGTCACAGAAAGTGCGCTTGCTCTCTCTAATCACTCTCTATGCATCTGCGAGGATCAAGAGCTGCTCCTTTCATCCGCCCGTCTTTCACATTTTAAACTGCGGCGCTGTTGTTGCATTCTCATTGATTTGTTTTGTTTGCTGTCGCCAGCTCTGCTGTTTCCGCTTGTCGACTGTTGCTACCGGTGAATGGAGGAGAAACAAGCGGACATGTGCACGTTGTTTGTGATGCATAAACAAGAGGTTGCAAGGTTGGGGGGTGTGGAAGGGAGGGGGGGGTTTATACCAATCAGCATCCTCCTCCACTCAGCCATGCAAATGAGGCTCTGGGTATCAGTCGCACTCTCCTGCTTCCTTAAGTGAGTGGAGCTAGAAAGCGACTGGCGGCGGCGGGTCAGATGGATCTTATCCTCTTAAATGCTAATGACATTTCTCCATTCTCTTCATTAGCGCCGTGCCATTATCAGTAATTTGTAGCCCCCCTCCCTCCTTTTACGGCCCCCGCCTGGCTCCCCTAATGAATACTCGCCATTGAGAGGTCCGAGATGGAAAGATGGGAAGAGAGCGAGGAAGAAGGAAGAAGAGTGAGAAGAAAACGCTTGAGCGTCATTGTCTCAGGGCCTCAGTCACCGTGCTGCCTCTGTGAAATTGCTCATAGGTTGTGTACATAAAGAGGTGTAACATCAAAAGAGTTTTAATTTGGCACCCGTGTGCCTCGCTGTAAACTGACAGCCGCTTGAGTAATTGGATGCTCATTTGAATATCGGCATTGGCTGACGGAGATTGCACCATTATTTTTGTGTTCCACAAGTGCTACATCAGTCCCCTCCACCATTCTCATTCTGTGGGTACCCATTCTCTTTCCATCTCCCCCTTCTCATTCAGCAATCAATATTGCCCCTCATACTATGCCCATGTTGAGGGCACATGAATAAACAAATCCAGGTTGTATAAAAGGTCATTTTTAAATGATTCTTTTGAAATGAAAATAAAATCCTGCGGTCGGAGGAAATGGGGGCCCCTTCAGAGAGACACAGAGCCTTGGCTTTCTGTTGATTCTCATTACACGCACACACACAATCACACACACACACACACACACTAATTTGATGCCCCTAGCCACCTCTCCTTAGTGAAATCAAGGCTTTAACACAAATGTTAATCAAGTATTGGCAAGGGGAGTGGGGCTAATATGCAAAAGCAGAAGACCCTCCAGAGTATGAAAGGAGGCATATGTCGTGGGTATGGCCATCAGAAGTGCCTGTTATATACAGGAGAGTAGGTAAGAGGGAGTAAGAGGAGAGGGCGGGACAGAAGTCTCCTTTTATTAAAGACATCTTAAAAAGGTCTCCTTTCATTAAGATAATAGCAACGTAACTGTATCTCTCGTAATGTACCTCTCAATTTGCTTAAAACGCACATGGTATAATGGCCTACCTCCTCATAATTTGAATCTTCCTACAGCAATCATGTTGCAAAGGAAGGTCACTTAGCTTAGTGGATTTGTTTGTCATATTGTATCGAGAAACAACAATTACCGTGAGTATGCGCAACATCGGAAAATAATTCGATTGCTTTTACAATATGCCCATCAGTCAGTCATCGGGTTTAATCAGATGTGTTCTATACATGCAGCTTTTAAAGAGAGAGATATGAGAGTATAAGAACAAAAGTGAGAGCACTGGATTGCTAATAGAAAGGTCAGAGCTCTTCACTTAACAGCCGAACCGACTCATGAACGTCCTTGTTTCACTGTTGTCAGCGACCTTTGTTTATTGTGGACTGATGGAAATGATGTCGATAAATAAAAAGGAGCGTACAGTTGAATCGTACTTATGCATTATAGCCTTGTGTAGGTTGTCGAATTGTCATCTTTGTGTAACATCTATCAATCATTGTCTGCCATTGTGACCCCAGTCTGGATTCACATTGCTCGTTTTTCATCATTCTTTTCTTCCTCTTGTTTTTCCCGCTTGCGTTCAGTCATTTTTACAACTGCGCCGTTGATTAGCTCAGGACCGCTGCCTTGCCTCAGCTACTTGTCCCCAGCAGAAAGCCGCCCCGTGACCATTTGCAGTCAGTTCAAGTGGTCTAGGTGTGTATGTGTGCGTATATATGCGTGCGAGTGTGAATGGCCATGACCACACACAAAGGATTGAATGAGCACACCTGAATGACACTAATCAACATGGAGTGTTGATGGCATGGTTTGACCTCAGACTCACACACGTACTGTGGCGAGAAAAGGTAAATTATACAGCACCTGAATGTCTCGCTCTTCTTCTCTGGTTCTGTTTTGTCAGGTGACCGACATTGCTGATGCCATGATCCTGAAGCAGTTGTTTGAGACGCTGTTCAAGACCGGAGTGGTGGTGGTGGCCACCTCCAACCGACCCCCTGACGGTACGGCGACTCAGCCCATACCTATAGTCATCTTCTTTAGCTGGTTTATTACCTCTGCCTAGGAGGTTAGGTTTTCAGTTTGAGTTGTTTTTGTGTTTTTAAGCAGGTTTACCAAAATACTACTGGCCTGACTTGATAAAAAGGTTGGCCATTATATTTTAGAGCAGATTGGCATTGGCCGGGGTCAGCGCTCTCCCAGTGCTCTTCTAGTTTATTAAGTTGTTCTGATTAAACACACAGCAACTACACTTGAAATGGTTAAAGTAAAAAAGTATTTTGCAACAGAAATGTTAGAACCTCCAGAACAAATATGAAATCTTCCTTATATTGCAGGACCATATAATAATAATAATAATAATAATAATAATAATAATAATAATAATTTGACCCAATTATTCAGCAGTTAAAAAATACATCTGAAATATTTTATTGTTTTCTTTTACTTAATCTAATCTATCACAACAAGTACCCATTTGATTTTACATTTTAAATGGGTACTTTAGGCGCTAGGTGCTTGTGGTTTGATTTGGTGACAAATAATGATAAAGGAAGGGAAAATGAAAGATAACAAAAGTGCTACTAGATCTCCTACAAACCTTGCCCATTAACTCGGTATGCATGAAATGATATAGATATTTGAATGATCAGAAAGCAGAAAAATTAAAATCTGAAAACAAAATCAACAAATGAATAGCTCAAGCTCATAACCTTAGTGCTGCACGGTAGTGAAAATGATTGATGAGTTGTTCAAAGAACGTTATACTTTAAACTACAAACTGTTCATCAAAATTAAAGCTTTACCTAACTCTTACTCTGACTGATAAAACATAGCAAAGCTGAGGTCGTCAGGCGATGGTTATCTTTGAAAAGAGTATTGCAAAATGTTGCATTTATAAAAATGACTCTTAACTACACCAGTACACCATCTGCAGCTGAAATAACAAGTAATACTCCTGGAACACCAATGTTTGCTTCTCCTCCTCTTGAACCAGCACATTTCCCAGTCACTTTACATACATCTACATTATTCACTTAATATTCACTTAATATTCACTTAATATTCACTTAATACTTTCATCTGAAGGTGCTTGGCCCCGGCAAGAATCAATTGACAGGACCACGACAAATACACCCTGTTAACCGCGAATAACCGGGGAAAAGACGTTTGATACAGCTCTCACTTAGAGACATGACACAACCTTTAAACAGGCTTTGATGTTGCATTTACTGCCAGCAGAGCAAGGTCTGAGAAAGAATTAGCTAGGCGGTGATCAAGGTGAAGATAAATGCATGATGTGCTATCTGACGTCTTTCTCTGGGAAGATGTTGATGTCTCAATGCCTCGAGTGGGTAGGAAGTGGATGGCAGAAAAATGGCTCTTGTAGACAAAGAAGCCCGTCTCTGATATTTACTGGCTATTAAGAACAAAGCGCAAAACCATGCAAACTTGATAGAGAGCCTACTTGGTATTAATTACTTGGTTAATGGAACACTGAAAGCCATAAGAGACAACTGGACATGAAAGGCATACATTTCCCATCTTTATTGATGTGTAGATGCCGCCATCAAACGGCCGTGTTTGGAGGCGTAATTTAGACATTTTTGCTACAACGACTAAAGTGGTGTTTCATTGTTTTAAAAATGGATGGAGTTTAATAACATTGAGTAGAGTTGAGGGATAAATGGTTATGGATAAATGGTCTTTTCTGGACGTGCAATTTACAGTGAAATATTTAATAGTCTTTGTGAGCTGATTTGAATCCATTTAAATCGGTAACATCTATCTACAGTATAATACTGCTCAGTTGCTTTCTTGCTTGAGTTGGGTGAGAAAATCTATACCACACTCATATCTGTACATTAAATATGAAATTCAGCCAGTTAGCCTGGCACAAATAGAAATAGATATAACAGCTACCCTGGCAAATAAAATAATTGTTCGTGTAAAATGTAAAACCCTGTCTCACAGGAGGCCATATGCTTGACTACTTTTTTACATTACATTGCATTTAGCTGACGCATTTATCCAAAGCGACTTACAATAAGTACATTCGACCAGGAAGATACAACCTTGAAGAAAACAGAATCATATAAGAACATCATGTTTCATAGAGCCAAACATTTCAAGTGCTACTCAACTGGCTATAAGCCAGTCCTTTATTAGTATATAAGTGCTCTGCAGTTCTTTGTTAGTAATTATATCGCTCGAAGTGGAGTCGAAAGAGATGAGTTACTTCTAGGAACGCATTGCTCCTGTCCAATAATGTACACCAGGACACAACCTAATTAAAGCTCCATTACTCACTTTGGCTTTTGTACGGATTAAACATGACGGATATATCGTGTTAATTAGTTTAGTTTTAGATTCACCTTAGTTTTAAAAGCTGAGAGGACTGATTGGATGTTGATTTGCAGTCTCCACTAACTGCTCCCTTCGTAGTGGCTCCTTTACTGTAATACGTTTATTCTTATTTTATATCATCTGACTGACTAGTTCTGGGCAAAGCCATTCACACTTGAAAATCCATTTCATAAATTTAAGTTTTATAATATTTCCAAAGCTAAACATACTAAACTTATTTTTTTAGTTCCACATTGGTGCCATTTCTGACACACAACGCTTGTATGTATAAGGTCATTGGTTTTATTTGTCACTGTGTCGCGTGGCCTCAGACAGTTACATAATATACGGACGGGAATAAATCAATGCCTGCTTGTAAAGTGGGCCGGCCTTTATTGGTTAGCAAGATATTTTAAGTTGATAACCATTAAGATAAGTTTTGATGGTCGTAGGCACTTTCTTAATGTGTGCTACAATGTTATTTGGGAATCCAAGATGAAACCAAAACAATTTCCTTTCTAACTTTTCATTTCATTAAGAGTTATTGTGAAGCCATCACCTCAAAGCACATTCAAACTATTTTTTCGACAGTTCAGAGGAACACAATTATTTTGAAGCCACTGAGAGACAGCGTTCATGCCTATTCAGTAACACTGCAGCCTGTTGTGGAGTCTTTGTCGACACATAAATAACTGCGTCATCATCAAAGTCCCAAAATGTTTACCTATTCCTTTCACCTTTGCAAAAGAATTGTGTCATAGACAGCGCAGCCCATTACAGTATAGGAGTTAAGCTTAAACCCAAACATCAACAACAACAGCTTGTTTACGTTTGCAGCTGGAAAAGCTGAAGCCTCGCTGTGTGTCTGTGGGTGTGTGTCTTTGTCCGTGTTTGTGTGTGAATCCCTATCTGTTTTATCTGTCTATCAGGGATGCTACTTCAGATGTAATTTGTTCCAGCCGAGCTAATTGAAACATCTATTCAGCGAGCTGCTGTGGACATTGTCCGCTCTGAAAAGGCGACAGTCCTTTCTGTCGCCACCATTGTTTGGGAATGTAATGAATTTTATGTTGCTGCCGCTGCCGGTAGAGAAATCCATTTTTCTCTCCTGGTCCCAGTCCTTTTGTCGTGCCTCCCCACCCATCCTTCAGTTCATCAATAGCCACTTTATCTGCCAATCTGCGGCGAGGGAATGACATTATTAGGAGGCTAAACAGCAGCTCTAATACAGGCCCTCCCCTCCTCTTTCAGATCTGTACAAAAACGGACTTCAGAGGGACACCTTCCTACCTTTCATCGACGTGCTGAAGGTAGAGACAAAGTCATCCCTCTCTCTTGTCTTGTTAATGAATTCATTTGTTTATCACACACATACACACACATGCATGTGCGCCTCTGTCCCTCTATCTCTGTCTTTTTTTGCAAGTTGCTTTTTAGTGGTTTGATGTGTTCTGCTTCCTCGATGCCTCACACAGTGTCACAAAGCTGTCTTTGATCATACCAGGGCACGGTGAAAGACTCGCAGAGAGAAAGGTAGGGAGAGATGGAAAGAGTGTGTGTGAGCTCAGGTAATGTGAATCAGAGAGAGGCGGACGAGCTGAGTGAGTGACTGCTTGCATTTCAAAAGTAGGGGGGGGGGGGGGGGGGGGGGCGGCGAGTGGTGGGCGATGCGGTGGTTAGCATTTTCAGCAAAAAATCTACTTTGCAATTTAAGCAGGTAGCGCCATTATCCTGCCTGCATCTCAGATGATCATTGATGTGTTTGGAGTGATCATGTTCATAAATAATTGCATAATAATTTGTTGTCATGCATTTTGCAACAGAGGAGGGCAGCATTCTTGCACCTATTATTGGTATTTAGTCTAATAATAACAGGAAGCAATATCTAACAGCAGTTTATTTGCCCACAAATGTAGTGCTTTTTCGCCTTGTCATAAGAAAAATGCCCCTAGTAGTGCAAATAAATGTAATTTATAATTCCTTCACTTTTTTTCGCGTACAGACCTACAGGTTTTTCAGCAAAGGTCTGGCGAGTTACTCTCACAGCCAATATAATGTAGCTGATAAATGCTCTCTTGTGACTGAAGGACTGAAAATAACCACTCAAAGTGCTGCTTGAATTCTATGGCCGAATAAAGGAAGCTGCTTTTAAATTCTCATTATTTATTGAAGATAATAGACATGCCTTACTGAGGTGACGAGGGGAAACACTACCTGTATTAAAATTATATTAGCACAATGATCAGAACCTCAGCAATATATTTGTTTTTATTGGTCTTGGTTTAGAACAAACTAAATATCCTCGATATATTGGTACTTTATGCAGTATAATCGTAAAGGGAGAAGTATATTTTATAGCATCACAGCTGAGCAGATTCGGGTACATCTAGTAAAAATGAAACATAATGAATGATACAAAAAACGGACTCAAGAACACCACCTTTATGTAAATATACTGTACGTTTATTTACTATAACATGAGAGGATGTCATGTAATCTGAATTTTCTCCCCACAAAATATTACTTATTAATATGACTTATTCCTACTGGCCTAAAATGTTTTACTCTCTAGATAGGACAACTAGTATGTTACTGTAAGACTAGAATTATTCCATCACATGAACGATGTATCTGCTTCGTCACAAACCTCAGTGGGAGTACTGTTGTTGTCTACAAAATAAGAAAAGGAGTAAATCTCAAAACTTGTTTGTTAACAAGAGTCACATGGCTGATCTGAAGTGCCCAGGCTACGGCCAGTTTCAGGGTCATCAGAGCTTCACCGTATCTTCAAACACACACACACCGACGTAAACACACAACAACCTGGGAGTCACTCTGCCCCCCACCCACTCACCCAGCAGAACCATTGCCCTCTCTAATCCACCCTCATCAAGGTCCTGAATGCCTGTTGTCCCGCTCTGCCCCGCACTACCTCCTCTCTTTCAGGGTTCCATGTTCCCCTTTGTGAGGCCATCTGGTTTTCGGGGTCGGTGTTTTTTTTTGGGGGTGCTCTGGCTTCTCTATAGCGGCCTGTTCTGTAAAGTTAAAGCGTGTTTTAGCGGGGTCACGCTGCTAACTAGCTGACCCTTGATAGATTGAATTAATGCTGGCAGGGCCCGGTGGTGCGGGTCCTCCTCCATGCTGCGGCTCCTTCTTGTCTAAGTGTGTTTCTATAGCGGGTCAGGCAGTGAATGAGGGCGTTGGAAAGTAAGAAATAGCCTCTGACCTCTCCTCCCTATCACCTGAGCTGGAGTGGTAGAGGTTAATCCTGCGCCTATGTCCGCCTGGGTTGATGTCTTTATTTAACTATTGACTTCTGATGAGTTTGGACCCCCTTTTTCCTCAGCTCCCTACCCCCTCAAAGAAATCATCCAGTTTCCTAATCTTAAAAATGTAGAAATGATGCTATGCATGGAAAGCTTCAGTTATCCTAAAAGTCTCTGTCCTTCCTATATTTTCAGACATTTGTTATTTCTTGTTCTCTTCTGTGGACTCCATCAGGAAAGCTCTTCAGTTGTTAAGGCTTCTTTTTCTTTGTAGCCATGGCACAGCTCTGAGTTCTGTAAAATACAGGGTTTAAGGGCTTTTTTTAATGGACACTGCCAGTATTGTAACTAAGACACTCTTTCTCTCTCACAAACTGTCCTCCCTCTCCACTCCACTTTCCATCGCCCATCCTCTCTCCACCCCTCTATCCCGCTCTTTATTCTATTACTATCCTGCTCTGCTCGCTGGCTTTACTCACCCAAGGTCAGGTCTCTGTATTTTGGTAGCAGAATAGTGACTTTATTTTCCTTCCGCTTGTTCGATTGCAGTTGCGTACACAATGCTGCAGAGAGGGTGGGAAACATGACAACAACCCTGAGGCAACTTTGAGTATCTCTGAGTTTCCTGCTGTTTTTAACCCTTCTTTTGATCCACTCTCCTTCTCTTTTTTTGTGTCATTGTTAATAATTGCTATGGGATGTGCAGTTGGCGATGAGAGAAAAATAAATATATAAATAAAACAGGATGGTAGAGAAAGGAAAATTGAGGAATGAGAGGGATGTGGTCCTCCAGTGAAGACCTTGGTGAGAAGGACTGCCTTTGAAGAGCTGGCAGCCTGCCAGTTTGAATCAAATGGATGTTGATATTTGATGACTCTCATTGTCTTCCAGAGCATTTAATGCCACTCACTGTGTGCCTCGAGGGCATACCTCACTTATTTTATATCAGTGTCTCGCACCTACAAAACCAAACGATTAATATAGAACAAATTGATTTTTCCTCCTTTCGAACATGAGGAATTGATTCTGGCTCTGTGTTTATCACTTAATTTTGAATCGATCCAGGAACCTTAGCCTATTTTCTGCTGCTGACTGATGTTTTCCTGCATGTGCACGTGTCAGATGTGCTTGATCATGCATGCACGCACACAGGTATATTTTCCTTTACTCTATTTGTTTATTTGGAAAGCAGGCCACCTGCAATCTGAATGAATCGCTTAATACAAAAATGTTGCTCTCCTCTTAACTTCAGTAACGTGTACATTCATGAAATAATTGTACTTATGCTTTGTGTCTCCGTTGCACTCTTATCAACCCAATTGACTCTGCTGCGTTTTCACATTTGTAACATCAAGCAGCTGCAAAGATGGCCATTTTGTACATGTTATGTTACTAAATATGTTTTAAAACACCCTTATTATAAAGATAAAAGGACTTACCAACTTGTTTACCTGAGCAAAAACAGGTTTTATATCTCAGAGTAAGATTGCTGGTGCTTAAAGGGAAGGTCAAAGGGCTTCAAATAACACAGTAATACTAAAAAGAAGAACAAATATATGACTATAGTATACATTATCCATTACTATAACTATCCCTGAAAGAACTGTTGGCAGTGGAGTTGCATTGTGGGTAATGTAGGCACCAGGCTTTGACAAGGATAAAGAATTGTCTTTTGTTGCTTAGGATGCAAAATGTGTTAAGTAGAAGCTGGTCGAATTCTCTTATTTAAACAAAAGGTGATATCTATGGGGATATTGTTATTGTCTCCTTGTCACCATACTTTACCAAAGGAAAGGAGATAATACTGTCCCACAACTTTTAAACGTCAATAATGAGTCATTCTATGTTATAGGGGTGAATTGCTAAGTACTCCTTTAAATGTCTGGTGTTCTGGAATTATAATAGGACAATGGTAGAATTGAAGTAGTAGCTGTATTTCAACATCTGTTAAATTGTAGCTTGTGCAGAGACTTTAGTATCTTAGCGATTTGCTCATCTGCATTTCTTCTGTCCGACTATTCCTCCCAACATGTGGAGCCTCTGCCGGCCAGGTGCAGGTAGAGCAGCGAGTTTTGGGGCGGTTCAGGGTTTTTGGGCCTCATCAGAGCTCGAGAGGGGTTGAGGGTGGGGGGTCCAGTGGGGTGCTGGATCACGGAAGGTGGGGCCTCCGACTCAAAAGATGTTTCCCCAAGAGGAGCAGCCGAGGCAGGGGGAGGTTGTGAGAACGACCCCTCAGAACAAACCATCGCTGGCCCAAGGCGGTCACACTTTAAGGGAATAGATCATTAGGTGTAATTAGGGTGTTCACATTGTCACGTACCCCCCCGACTCCCCAAGAATGAATAAAATCACCAGCTACACCCCCCACGCACTCACTCACACACACAGCAGATCCCCAGTTAGTGAAAACACTTTGATGTCAGAAGAGTCGTCCAGAACTTGCCAGCATAAAGGCAGTGTTTTAAGCTTTCTCTCTTTTCTCCCCCGGTCTCTCTCTCTCTCTCTCGACCCCTCTTTCCCTCCCTCCTTTTCTTCTGTCCCTCCACACAAGGCTGTAAGACACACATGGTTGAATGAACGACAACCTTTCCCCTCCTCCCTCTCTCTCCCCCCTTCGTCTCTTTTTCAGCCTTCCCACCCCGCATTTCTTTGAGGCCTGGTCAATTCTCCGGGCCAAACAAAAAAAGCATCAAATGTTTTCTGCTGCCGGGTAATGAGGGAGTGGACCTCATCAGGGCCCGATAGTCAGCTATCCTTGGCTTTTGTTGCAGCTCAATGGCACCGCGCTCTTTGAAAAACTCAAAAGCAACTTTTTGAGGAGTAAAGGATAGAGAAAGATATGTCGCAGAGGGAGTGGGCGCGGAGGCAGTGAAGATAAAAAAAAAAGCCACTCTGTTTTTATGCTAAACGGCTGTCCAGAGAGAGCAGTGGACAGCTTGGACAATGACATGATTGGAGCTACATGTGTTTGGATGACTTTCTTCTAAAGAGACTCTGATTCTCATGTCTGTCATCTCTCTCTCTCTTTCCCTCCCCTCTTGTGTCTGTGAGTTCCTGAATGCATCGCTGCAAGTAGTGAGACTTTTAATTTGCTTCCATGCTGCTCCTCTGTGAGTCAGCTACACATATAGGACCAGTTTCACACCACAAGTACAAAAAGCTGATAATGTGGCATGGTGACAAAGAAACTAGGAACTTCGGATTATTTTACCTATCAATTAAATCAGACAATTATTGTGTTTTAATCATTGGATTCATGTTAATAAAAAGTTAAAACATATTACAGAAATACTCCTCAGTTTTCTAGATCTGATAGTATTGTCCAAACAACAATTTAAAACATGAATATATTTTGTAGAAACCGAAGATACCTTGTGCACAGCATTGCTTCTCCTCCCTCCAAAATCGCAAATATAATCAATTTCCAATCTGATAAAACAGATAAAGGCAGCAAACTTTCCCATTTGACAATCTGAATTCAGTGAATAGTTTCCACTGCACCATTTTACCTGTTAAATGACTGCAATTTAGCATCATCTGTTATTATCCTTCATTTCTTATTTATAGACCAATTGATTAGCGTATAACATTTAAAATCATACTGTAAAATATGTCCCAGAGCCCAAGGTGAACTACCTCTAACTAAATTCCCACCAATCTAAAACAGAGAAACACAGCCATTTCTCATGTTTATTTATGCTCAATTGATTATCAAAATGTTCTATCTACTAATCCAATAATTGCTTAAGCGTTTAAACATTACAATTGACAATTGAGTGCAGCTGGCAGGTGTTTGTCAGAGTTTATACATCAGATTGTTGTTGTTCAGCCTTAGAGAACAATAAACAGAATAAGCTAAAAGGCCATTTGGAGATGAGATTTTAAGTTTCCAAGAAGACAGAGAGAAGCGTGGTGGTGGGGGGGGGGGGGGGGGAGGAGGAGACCACAATGTGTAGTAGGCGGATAAAATCTCGGAGGAGTGAGAACTTGACAATCCCCTCAAGATGGATAATCAAGTAATGACCCGCGAGGCCTCAGCCTTATCTGATTATAAATAACCAATGGAATCACCACCACTGATTGTGTTTTCATTCCTCCTGCTCTCCTCTCTCCTATTTGTACCTCGCTTCTCCGTCAAGAAACGCATCAGCCGCCTTTACCGGAGGTAGAGACGCTAGATAAAGAGATGGAGTAGAAGATGGCAGGAGAAAAGACAGACTGAGACTCTAATGATGTGGCGGCGATAGTGACAAGTTTTCCTTCTTTTTTTCCCATTTTGGAGGGACTATTTACCCGTTGGTGGGGTCACAGTAGGTTGATGAAATGACACCTCCCTTTTGTATGTGGGGGAGGGCGAGTTTGTCAGGTTGTTATTAAGCCTGATTCAGCCAATTGGCTCAGAGTGGGAACCCCGTTTGTGTGAGCGGACATGGAGATAAAAAGTTGACAGCGGAGAAGAATAGAGTATTTCTGTCCCCTTGCTTTGTGATGATTACTAATTATCCTGCAGCTTAAGGAGGCCAGTGGCAGAAATTCACTGATTTCATAATTTACCGGAGCTGTCGTCGACTAGTCTGTCAGCCGCCGCTGGCTCGGATGGGATGATATGCAATTCCTTTCTCTTCTTTGATAGAATGGTGGAGATGATGATTATAGTTTGTGGTGCACTCCCTGACATGAATCCTGTTGACGTTTTACACTATCTGGAAAAGTTTGAACTCTGCATCAAAAGTTCACCCCTGCTTTAACACACTTGAATAGCTGCAGGAACAATAGATCGACTCAATAAACCATAAAGAAGTGTCTCAAAATCCCGGCGCTGTTAGAGGAGAGAAAGATGTCTCCTGCCTTCTGTATTGAATTTATTCACTTGTTTTTTTATTTGCTTTTCGCCCATGAGGGATGAGCAGTAGAGAAGCAACAATAAAAATCACAAGCTCCGTTATCTAAATGAATTCCCCCAAGATGATCAATCTAAACTAATAGATAATATCTACTTTGAAAGCCTATAAGAGTTATTTGATTTATATGGTGCACATTTTTTTCCATATATCAATATTTCTCTTGTAACTTCTATGTGCCACTGATTAAATACGTCCAGACCCATATTTTAAAAATATTTTAAATGTCTGCAATGAAACAGCAAAACCTTACAAACTAATTAACCAATCAAAAAAACCTTTTAAAATGTTCTTTAAAAATTACATTTTAGGGAAATATGATACGTCAAATCTGATGTTTCACAGTTCTGACTTAATATGATCTATTTGAAAGAGAAGATGGTGGTTTTGCAAAAACATTTTCCGGGTATCCCCTCACCCCTATTAAAAAATATATAAATGAACTGACCCTATCTACAAATATTGTCTCTGTGAACAACGGCCGTATATGTGTTATTTGAAAATCAACAAGCCACACTTTTGCACCAGTTAAAGTCCTTCATTAGGTGCAAACAGACTTCAGTGTATCTGAGTATTGCCCAGAATGCTGAAAAAGATGTGGACTGAAAAAGCACAAGACATATAAACAATTCAGTATCTCTAACCTTATCCTAAATAAACTACTCGTAAAAATTAGAAAATGTGATTGAACTGCTTGAATAACAAAACAACAGTTTGCAAATTAAGGTAGATACAAGTACAACTCTAACCTAAATATATAATTTTTAACAACATTTACAATACAGATGTTTCCTTCTGCATTGCTTTAAAACACATTTGGGCCTATTGTTAATATTTGCTCTTACTTTGCTGATGTTTCAACCGTCTTACCGTGTGTGTGTGTGTGTGTGGTGTGTGTGTGTGTGTGTGTGTGTGTGGTGTGTGTGTGTGTGTGTTGTGGTGTGTGGTGTGTGTGTGTGTGTGTGTGTGTGTGGTGTGGTGTGTGTGTGTGTGTGTGTGTGTGTGTGTGTGTGCGTGTGTGCAGGTGTGCTGCCGAACCATCTGTCTTGACTCTGGGATTGACTACAGGAGGCTGGACAAAGCTGCAGCTGGAAATCTGTACTACCTGTAAGACACACACACACACACACACTCTCTCTCTCGAGAGAGAGACGAGAGAGAGATAGAGAGAGAGAGAGCGAGAGAGAGAGAGAGAGAGAAGAGAGAGAGAGAGAGAGAGAGAGCGAGAGAGAGAGATGAGAGAGAGAGAGAGAGAGAGAGATATGAGAGAGAGAGAGAGATAGAGAGAGAGCGAGATCTCTCTCTCTCTATCTCTCTCTCTCTCTCTCTCTCTCTCTCTCTCTCTCTCTCTCTCTCTCTCTCTCTCTCTCTCTCTCTCTCTCTCTCACACACACACACAATCTAATGGACATATTTGTTTCAAGTTTGCAGTTCGACTCAGCGTGGATGTTTAGAAGAAGTCTGGTAAAGAGTCAACATTAATCTGCATTGACAACATGCACACAAGCATTCAATCACACTATTACAGGAAATGTTTTTGTGGATTGATTTTTATTTTTAAAGGACAGAAAGAGAAGGCAAACAGATGGATAAATGGGGAAGCAGACTGTGAGATTTATAAAGACCTACATTACCTTGAGAGATCCATGAAAAGAATAAAAGAGGAATCAATAGAGTATGAGAAAATGGAAGAGCTTTAAAAGCTAGTTTTCTATTTCCCTCATTACATATACGCTGTTAGGAACACACGCATGCACACAAACAAGGTATGAATGACACTGCTGTTGCTCATCGCAGTATTGGAGCTTTCAAGTGCTTTCGTCTTTTCACTGTATGTAAATAGACTCATCGCACCCTTTTACCAGGAGTTAAAACACAAGCACACACACACACAAACACACACCCTTTAAAATCTCATGTTGACGTGCATTCACAGGCTAAGGCTCGTGTTTAGAGCCTAACATCCTGTTTTTTACTGATGGAGTGAAAAGCTAAGTACCACCCCCTCCTATGCACTCCTGGCTGCCAATCGTTTGATGTGGCCATTTCAGCATTGTTAATTTCATATTTGCTTTTTGTGTGTGTCCCTCTCTTTTAGCACAGCGGAGCCTGGTGCAGAGGCCTCCTTGGATACGCTTTTTGAGGAGCTGGCCTTAAGTCAAAAGAGTGGTAAGGAACATAAAGAAAAACATCAACTTTCTATGAGATTCGCTCCATTTCATAACGTGACATCAACATTTTGATCTGCTTGCGCTAGGAAAACATTTAATCGGAGGCAGCATGATGCGATAGCAGACAAATGGCTAAATACAATAAATATTAAAAATCAAGCTTTTTCATTTTTTAAAACATAAGCCGATGGAGTTCATGTTATTGTGTTTGTTGTGCAACAGCATATTTACCCACTGTGTTAAGATTGTTGCTTTGTTCCCACATTACGGATAACGTTGACAATATGTGATATTTTTGTACACATATCCAATGAAAAGTCCAAACCTTACAATTTGATAGCTTATTTCTTAATACCTTCCCCTTCCTGCAACAGGAGAAAATAGTGCATGTATTGATGGGTGTTTAGCCCAGGCAGGTATTACAGTATATGCAGAAATGTACCAAAAAACTAGGGTTTGGTAAACTAAACTAAAGGTCAGAAAAGATAACATTTGACTATGCGTTCAGTTTTAGAAGTTTGAAAATATTGGATCAGGGTTTGACAAGTGTTTATAGTTTTGCTGAACTGTTTCCTATCAGCCACCAGGTTAGTTTTATGCTTTAATTTTAAGGTTTTCTAGGGTTCTTTTTATTTAGACTGTTTTGTTCATATATATCTGAAACTCTTTATCCAAATAACTTGTGTGTAGATGCATTGTATATACCTGTTTTAGACATAAATAACTAAGGTGACTTCTGACTTCTAAGGTCTAAGATCAACTTTTAATATATTGATTCAATTGTAAAAGTGATGATAGAAACTGTATGACATGAGGATCATGTGCAACTCGTTTTTGACAAGAAAGCTACTGGAGACTTCTAGAATTGTGTGAGTAACATTGTGTTTTTAGACTTCTCTGTTTCAGTGTGTGTACTCTGTATCAATGCTCTGTAGTTGATCTGACTGGAATTGTGTTTTTAAAACTCAAAACCGCCACTTCGAGCGATAGAACTATTAACGAAGCACTTTTATACTAATAAAGGACTGGCTTATCTAAAGCCAGTTGAGTAGCACTTGAAATGTTTTTGCTCTATGAAGCCTGATGTACTTATATGATTCTGTTTTCTTCAAGTTGTATTTTGTTGGTCGAACGCACTTATTGTAAGTCGCTTTGGATAAAAGCGTCAGCTAAATGCAATGTAATGTAATATAATGTAATGGATCAAGATGATTTGTGTGTGTGTTTCTTTAGTTACGGGCCCTCGGCTGCTCACAGTGCTGGGAAGAGACGTGATGTTGGAAAAGACCTGTGGCTCCATCGCTGACTGTACTTTTGAGCAGCTGTGTGGCAGAGTGAGTGTACAAAAGTTTTCTCTACAATAATAATTCCTTACATTTATTATAGCGCTTTTCCAGATGCTCAAAGAGCTTTACAAATACACATTACACATATTTTTTTTATACATGCAATGGTCACTGTGGACAATACCCACAGGAGCAAGTTCAGGTGAAGTGTCTTGCCCAAGGACACAACGGCTTTACAGACGCAGCAGCGGCGGGTTTCACCCCTTGATCTGATGATCATTGCACAGCGCACTGCGCCACACCGTCCATCTTCACGCCTCGAAGTCATCGAGGCGCTTTTACAAGTACACATTGATAGTATACATGTACTGTGGACAATACCCACAGGAGCAAATCCGGGTGAAGTGTCTTGCCCAAGGACACAACGGCCTGACGCAGTGGCGGCAGGAGCGGGTTTCGAACTGGAGTTCAAATCTTCTTCATTTGCCTCATTGTCAACATTCTGAAAAACGATGGTTTCAAAAGTTCAACAATAACAGTAAATGCTGCAGGCCATATTCAGCTAAATCGTTTTTCTTTAAGTGTGCACAAAGAACATTAAAAGCAAAGCACACTCACCACTAATCAAAACTGCTCAGATTCAAAGCACCTCTCTTGCCTCTTTATTGCCTCTGCACTCTGTTTCTTCCCTCCTCTGTGTACTTTTTGTCCAAACCTTTGCACAAAAAATGAATCACCTTCCCTCCATCTCAGTCCTATTTTCTGCTCAATGTCAAAAAGCGTGTGTGTGTGTGTGTGTGTGTGTGTGTGTGTGTGTGTGTGTGTGTGTGTGTGTGTGTGTGTGTGTGTGTGTGTGTGTGTGTGTGTGTGTGTGTGTGTGTGTGTGTGTGTGTGTGTGTGTGTGTGTGTGTGTGTGTGTGTGTGTGTGTGTGTGTGTGTGTGTGGTCAAGCCTGATGGACAGCGGTGAGCTTTTGCAGGCATCTGAGCTTCAAGGCTTCTTCTTCTATCTGACATATGCTTGGCACGTGCACATTCATTTTGAGAGCAATCATCGTGAATGGCAAAGAACCAAGGACAGGGACTGAACATCAGCCCGAACTCTTTGCACAAGGTGCCCCTAGCGCTCCGTTTGCACTTCAGGGCAAACACGCACACCACAGCGTTCCTAGTGCGTGCTTGTGTTTACAAGGACACAGTGAAACTATTCTCCGCATTGTGATGTGCAGCTAATTTAACCTGCTAACGTGTTTTTTCTCAGCCTCTGGGTGCCAGTGACTACCTGGAAATGGCTCGGTTCTTTGACACTGTATTCATTCGCCATGTTCCCGTGCTGACACTTACCCTGAAGGACCAGGCCAGACGCTTCACCACCCTCATAGACAACTTCTACGACAACAAGGTGCTCCATCAATCTGTCCTAACTTAAATTGGGTGATAAAAGAGACAAAAATACAAATGTAATTTCACATAAAAAAGGTTAAATTCGGCCAAAAAACAGTTTATGTCCAGCTTTCGGCTTTTTTGTATGTCACCCCCTATCCCTCTCTCTTCCCTTCTCTTCTTTAATGTTAATTGTAGAACAAACGCATTAAATGCCCCCCCAGAAACAAAACAAATATGTTTCATGACAGAATAGACCACTGAAATGAAATAGTAAACCAATACTCTTCTGCAAAAAGTAATATTACTATATTATCGTACCACTAAAAGACCACAAGTGTCAACCTTATATTGGCTCACTTCTCATGAACTGTCATTTTATTAATAAATTCATCATAGCGTCGAAGAGGAAATTTCAATCTATAAAAAGAGTCAATATACACTTGACTCAGGGGACCGTCAAAGTGACCAAAGATATATCATTTTAAGGAAATAATGATTGAATGGTTATCTTCTCTGATGTAGTATTGATTACATGAGAAGAAGTAATTGTTAATAAAAAAGGAAGTGACCTATATAACTAAACTGGACATTACTGTGTCTTTCCCCCCCTCTGTGTCCCAGGTGAGAGTGGTGCTGCTGGCTGCTACTCCTTTAGAGCAGCTGTTCGTCCACACAGGAGGGGACGATGAGAGGGACAGACAACTGCTGGATGACCTGGGTCTCAGTGGGGTAAATCACATGTGCTACAACACAACAAGTTAAACTGGCAGGAAAACCCTCATCTTCTATATGCAATAAATGCAGTTTCAAATATAACATTTAAAAATTCACACTACTGATTTCTCTTTACAGTTCACCTCACAGTGAGCTGCACTTTCATGAGAATAACAACCAGTGGGTTGTTTGTTAGTCAATAGTGTATTAGTGGGTGCATGTACATTGTACATCATTGTAGTGGTGTTAATGATAAGGGAAGTTTTTCATCCAAAACACAGGTTTCCTTTACCTATTTTTAATGGCTGATTATAAAAGTATTACATTATCATTAAAGTTTAACCGAGACTATGTTAATGTCAACAAGGCAATTTTGAAAAGAGGATTTAGCTCTCACACATCCTAATCCTGCATGTTTAAGAATAAAACAGGCAATTTCATTTTCTTAATCCAGCTACTTAACTTCTCCTTTAGCCAAAATATGTTTGAATAAAAATGGTATTGAAGTATATCAGCCGCTAACTCTAGTGTTGTGTCCTCTCTTCAGAAGGCAGCGGAGAACCTGACTCTGTTCACGGCTGAGGAGGAGATTTTTGCCTTCCAGAGGACCGTCTCCAGACTGATGGAGATGCAGACGGAGTCATACTGGATGAACGGAGATCGCAGTCGCAACAAGGAAACATGAACATCTCACATCCTGCTGACTGCCTCATAGTCATACATACCTCCAGACAACAAAGTACCTCACTAACTACCGACACCACACACTAGATACCGGTTTCTGATTTTGGATCTGACGTCCACACTGTGCGTTGAACCTTTTTCCTGTGCTGAGAGGTGTGCTCTCTCCCCCTTGTGGAAGACTCTATTAAAACATATTACACCTCCAACATGTGAGAACCACAAGGCAAACACTCCAGAGAGGAGTCCCTCAGACTAGGTGGCTGCCGCCCTCTAGTGGACAAAGTTGAAAAAAGGTTAAATACACAGTCTCTGACTTTTGAATTTAAAATGGTATGAATGATATTGATCTATGTATTATATCAAGAGCTTTGCAGATAAAACTAGAACTAGTCTTAATTTGGCCTCCTGTTAGCAAGATGTTTGACTTACAGTTGCTATTACTAACACTGTGCAGCTTGGAAGGGGAAATTGTTCTTAAAGGGAAATAGCATACACAACTACTGCGTTATAACACTATTAAAATTGTAATCTCAAACAATTTGCATTCTTCAGTCCAGATTTCTTCAGAAATAATGTCATGCAGGTGTGATTAAAAATAAATCAGATCCGAAACCTTAAGTAAGTTGCAAAGTGACATTTCATTCACATTAGTGTTTTGTTCATTTGATAAAATGTAATGTTTTTGCATCTTAGCATCCTCCTTCTTTTTTTTACAAGATGCCAAGAAAACGCTTCAGTCCTGCAAAACATATATTATATTGCACAATTGATTTCCCGAGAAGCCCTCTTGCACCAACATTGAAACTGACATCTTGCCTTCCAAAATGAGCAGATTAAACATGAAAACTGTATCCTCATTTAAAGGTTAATGGGTAATCTCCCTTTTGTTGGAAAGAATATCAACATCTTCCTAGATTTTCATCCATATTTTAGGTACAATTATAGGGCGGATAGATTTTTTTTTTAACTGTGATATTTTTTTACTTCTTCCTGTATGCCTTTAGGTGGCAGTAGAGGGCAACCAATCACAACATGGTTTGTTATTGCGTCCATGTAAAGATGAGGTCATTCTAGTGCACCACTCCAGCCTGGACCAGCCCATCCTGACAATACAGTCAGAACAGTGAGCAGCACCTACAGTATCCAGAACAAGAGCATTATGCCAGATACTGCATTTGTACCAGGCAGCAAATGTGCAAAAACTCTAAAGTATTAAAAAAATCCTTATATATAATGGTGGGGGTTGATGGCTGTGTGTCTGCAGGTGTGTGCAGGGGTGCATGCACATGACATGTGTCAATAAAAAGCACTTGAGTCTGTAGCAAGGCCCTCCCACCATAACTCTCAATTAAAGAAAAATCAATCACGCCCATGCCAAGGCCCCTAATCCAATCAGAGCATTACGCTGGGGGAAACATCAGACACAAACAGAGATGGCTGCCTTGCGCTTTGTGATTGTCTTAATTGGATAAATCACGCCGGCTTAGAGGGGTCGCAGTCTCCATCCATCTGGACCAATGTATCGATACCCCTGCTGATGGAGGGAAGATGGAACACACTTCACCTTTTGTCTCTTCCTCTTTTGTCTCTTTCTCTTTGTCTTATTAGTACAAAATGGAACAAACATTTATAAAAAATACCAATAATTTATCTTCTGGTTTTACATTAAATTAGGGGGCTTAGGATACATCACAAGATGTCCTAAAACGTGCCTTAAATGTTGATAAGATTGTAAGAATTGTATTTGATAGCACAGTTTGCAAAACTAGTAAATGACTTGTGTTTTCTAATGGCTGCTTGCTCTTACTTGGTTAAATGTGTCTTTGGTAAAGAGAAAGACTAATAATGTTTTGGGATTGCGTGTGTATTTGTTTGCTTGGGTGCATGAATGTGTTCTTGCCCAACACTATGGAAACTCAAAGGCGCATGTAGGGGGAAGCGTTCTTATCTTGTCACAGAACATATTGGCCAAATGCCAGAGATACTGCAGCAGGGTACTGAGGACACGTCTGACACTTATACTGTTGCACATGCCGTACAGCAGGTGCATTTCAGTTCCCAATGTCTGTGGTGGAAAAGCAAATGAAAGTCAGTGTTGTGGTCTCTTTAAAGTAACCTTAAAGCCATCGATAGGGTTCAGAAAGATATTGGTGTGCTCAAAAAGATGAAGCCAATAACAATTTTTTTTTAAAGCTGTTACATGGCTTAGTCATAAAAGGATTGAAGATGGTTTCAACCTTGGCAAGTCATTTCATATTTGGTTCAAAAGGAAACAAATGCAATACTTTACTGAATAATCATCAATGTAGATCAATATTGTATCCACTTCAAATTATCTTTCAATGTATTGGGAATAAACTGAATTCAAATATGTTAGTAGCACAAAATAGTGTGATTTAAAGGAAGAAACATATCCCAGTCTAATACAGTTGGCTTTAAACAGTAGATCTGCACACACACAGACACACACACACACTCAGACATCCTAACCTCTATCTGTACATCCAGTGTGCAGTTAACTCTATAGTTCTCTGCGGGAGCCAAACTGCTGCATCAGGTATTCTCTTTGATGTGAAGGGAACAAAAAAGCATCACACAATATGTGGTACGTGTACTGACTATCCGCCTGTAATCCCGTACAGTACAGACTCCAGACTGCTGTTGTAAATGAGCGTATACATCTGCTCGGTTAAATGTGTGTCAATGAACACAGTTAAACAATAAGGTCTGACCTTTTTAGAGGGTAAATGTGTCAGTTTGGTGTCTGTGAATAATGTGATGAAGATCTCCCCAAAAAAGATAGGAAAAAGGGGCCTTAACATATTTACAGATGTGCAAGGAATACAATACAGGAGATTTAATTAATGCCAAAAACAATAACAGTATAATGTCGTAAAATAATAAAAACATTATTGTAATGTCAAATAAAAAGATACAAAATTCCATCCAAGTATAGACACAATAAATCCATGCAGTTATATTGAAAGGGTATCTTGTTATGGTCAGCTGTGAACGCGCATTCCTGCACAGAAACCGCGAGTACGCGCAGATGGACGCGCACCTTGCAAGGCAGGCAGCACTCGGAACAAAGAAGCCGTGGACGAGGCTGTTTTGATCCGGAGGAGGAGGTGGGGGAAGGAGGTCCAGAGCATCGTTTACAGGAGGGAGAGCAATCTAGGATTTCTCCCCTTATCTCTGGCTAATAAACGACATGACGTCATTGTAAAGGATGTGGAACAGGCGCCAGAAAGGGGCGTGGCCTGAGCGCGGTGACACACGTGATTGACAATCTGAGGTCCGCTGATTAAAGGCACCATCATCCATTATGATGTAGCAACAACGAGGGGGATGAGAATACAACATATGATGTCTAAGCTTCAAATCCGAGCACGTGATAATGGGTTTTAAATGTCTTTATCATTAAGCACCATCATGTCAATAACAATAATGTAATATAATATAAGCTTCATTGTGTACGACACACCAAATACAAATAGCTCACAATACTACTTACAAAAAATGTGTACAAAGTGACCAAAAGTCACATGACTCTAGGAAACATGATATTGTATTGTTATATTTGAAATATAAGTTACTGTTTATATTATGTTTCATCTCTTATTGAATGACTGCATATTAATAATATGTAAACAAGGGGTTGAATTACTCAGATTACATAATTGATTAAACCTGAAAAGCACTTTATTAAGCATACCTCTCTTTTCTATGATAATAAACTAAATAGCTTTTCATATTGGACTGCTGCGATAATATTCTGTAATTATTTTTTGTTCATCGTTTTTATTGAGACAGTCACAGCCTTTTCTTTGAATCAAAATTAATGATTTCTAACAAATTAAAAACCTGTAGCATGCTTGTCCAGTTACACCAGAAGCAAAAGTAAGACATGTAAACCCCCATCTGATCTTGCTTTGACAGTAAATCTATGTATATAAATTGATGCAAGTGGACTTTAATAGTTCCTACTTTCTTCAGCTGTGTGCCTCTATACATTTCTGTATATTTATGTGCCTGTCTCTAACATGTCAGGACGTGTCCCAGCCTCAACCTGCGCACACACCGCTCTGTCCTGTTGGACTGCAGTGTCTCTTTAAAAGGCGATCCCATGCACAGGATCCAGGGGGCTGGCCCTCGATCGACTTGCATGCGCGAGTATGTACGTAAGTGTGTGTATGTGTGTAAGAGAACGTGTGTGTGCAGCGCAGTGTGGAGAGCAAATCGAGATACAGTAGTAACCCGGAGTGAGGTGGCAGTCTTATTCCACATCGACATCCATCCTATCGATATCGCAAACGCACTTGACGAGTGAAAGAGGAATAGAGTCAAGATGGCATCTGGAAGTGGCCGTGGACAATCCGGGATCTAGTCTCTTCGGAGGGATTTTTTTTGGAAACCACAGAGCGCGAGTGACTGGCCGTGCAAGGTATTTCATTTAAAGTGTTGAGAGCGGATTTATTACGCACTTTCTCCTCAGCCATTTATTTACCGTGGGAGGATTAAGAGCCGTGCACCAGGACGGGATTTGGTGTAGATGAGCAAGTAGTGTTTTAGAATGAAGACCAGCTCCGCGCAGGCGAGGATTTAAATATGTGTTGCTATTTTTCGTTTAGAGCGTGATTGACAGAAATAGAATAAACCTACACAATCAGGCGCTGCATCGCATCTGTTAGGTTGTGTTTTCATTCGACTCTAACCGAGTGTGTTGGCTTTATTTTCTGTCTCCATGTCCTCAACAGGCGCTAATAACTAAGTTGCTCGTGGCCCTGGGGGGACTTCGCTGGTGTGGAATAGCAACAAAGGAAGGGAGCGCGCATTCATGGGACGCGACTTTGACAGCTCCTCATTTCTTGTCTTGTAACTTTACCTGGCATCGGGGGCTACATTGTGACCGGAGCGGGAGATAATGGCTGAGGCTTCGTTCCCCGACACACTCCCGGACCTGGAAGTGATCATTGATCCGGACTTCGAGCCCCAGAAGCGGCCCAGATCTTGCACCTGGCCGCTACCTCGACCAGACTCTAACGCGGTGAAACCAGATCATAATGACACAGATATTATACCTGAGGAGGAGGATGATGAGGATGATAACGCCACCACTACGGCTAACGATGGCTCTGGCTTGGCAACAGAGGACCAGGGCAGCAGCAGCCCCGTGGCCGATGGAGGGCTGTCCTCCTCCGGCCAGGAGAGTGGAGGCTCCCCGCACTCCTCGCACTCCCCGACGGCCAACTCTGGCGCACTGACTCCCAGCGGCCTGGCTGCTCAGCAGACCCCGAGGAAAGCATCATCTCGCCGTAACGCCTGGGGTAACCTCTCCTACGCAGACCTGATAACCAAAGCCATTGAGAGCACACCGGACAAGAGGCTGACACTGTCTCAAATTTATGACTGGATGGTGAGATCCATACCCTACTTCAAAGACAAAGGCGACAGCAACAGCTCTGCAGGATGGAAGGTAAGAATCTTCCCACTCACCCACAAAGCCCCCCCCCCTCCTTCCTCCATCAAAACAAAAAC